TAAATTGTGAGAGTCAAACCGTATATTCGATTATTTTTACACTATCCGAAATCGCGGTTTTCTCAAAACATACGGTCTCAGATGGTTTATCAAAGCCGAATAAAGGATCTAATTTTCATGACTTCATTAAACAGGTAAAAACTGTGATTTCAATTGTCGTGATCTGCCACAGCTTCTTAATCAAATTTTCTCTATGAATAATTCAAGTTACAGTGAGTTGCCAAGGGACTATAACTTAATTTAAAACATTGAGTCAAAATGATTAAAATAGATATAATCTGTTTTAATTTGAACAATATGTATGAATTAAAAACAAATCAAATATAGCAAGCAAAATAAGCATATAGTGTTGAATGTATAGGTAACTGTTCAATGTTACTTGGAATACGTACAATCATTTTTCTACGATGTGTTGCATCCGATGTAACGAGTGGCACATATTAAACAGGATAATACGTTTTATTCTCTTTTGGATACTTCCTAATGTAGTAAAGACTCTGTTTTATGATTATTCGATAGGCAATGATTTTGTACGACAAAGTTGTTATCTTCGTTTTTATAATAATTTTTTCTTATTGACGTAGAATTGAAAAGATTATCACATACTTAGTTGTCAAACTACGACGGTTAAAGAAAGGAATAACTAAATACATGTCTCAGAATTTTAGAAAGAAAAATTTCTGTGACGAGAAAAACTTTTTGTCATTGTAGGTTTTTAATTGAGATCAAATTCAAACTTTTCATTGTTCAATATTTTAATTTGATGTCAAAAGGAAAAAATATAGTAAAAACTAAGTCAACAGTATTGGATAAGCGTAAAATACAGTCTTTACTATATTGAGAAGTGTTCTAAAGAAAGAACAACGTTTTATCTCGTTTATTATGCGCAATTGGTTCAAATATCAGTTATCACATTCAGTAGAAAACTGTATCGTACACAATACTTCTGAAGACATTGCAATCAACAACAATGTTAGATTTATACTATTGACATACTGGAACATTGTTCAAAGTGCTGACAATGTTTACGCGTTGTGTTTTTCGATAAACATTTTACTAAACCTGCTCTTCAATTACTATATAAATGTCAACAAACACGACTAAAAGCTTCGTTGATAAATATCATTAACATATTTGATCAAATAACCGTATGAGTAATGACAACATCATACCAATTTTGAGGCAGACACATTCGAAATTCTTTTTCTTTCTCCTATCATGTTATTCATCGATTCGTTCGTTTCATGTTCAAAGTAACATATTACAAAAATGTTTGAATAAAGGATCTAGTTTGAGGCCAAAAGACTATCTCTATAAAATTAATCCCCTATAAACATTGATACATGACTAGAAATGAATATTTCTTCGACGATATACTTTCAAGATTTCATATCCTAATTATTTTTAGGCTTTTCACGATTATTATGTTCTAACTATTGACCTTTTGGAAAACTCTTTTTGTTTCAAATATATCTCTATATTCGTATATAACAATGAATATATACAACGAAAGTTCTTACGAAGAAATCCATGTGATTAATAATCTCCGTTTGAATTGATATTTTGATCATAGATAGGACTCATAGTGTAGATAAAAATCTTGAAAGAGTTCGTATCATTAAATTTTTCTTCTCAAGTTATAATCATTTTACTGAGCTTTCCGCCTATTGTAGGATATCAATAGAAAAATCGTAACAAGAAGGTTTGGTCTACGATTCTCCACAACGATAGCTCTTATAGCTTTTATAGTATTCTGAAGGTTTCAGTTCAAGCAGATGTTCCCATTCTGAGATAACACGTTGGCAAAAAACGTTACTTTCACATAAAAGCTTCAAAAAGAAGTGTGCATTAGATATACAATATCTTAAAGAGAAATCATCCTTTTGAATTAAAACTTTCAGGATATCATAAGGACTATAAAATTTATTTGTTGGAGAGAATTTCAGACTGGAAGTACTTGTTGCAATTCGTCTGATGATATTCTACAATAGGCTGAAAGCTAAATAAAACGACCATAACTCGAGGAGAAAAGTCTAATGTCACGAACCCCTTTCAGAATTTTTATCTACGCTATGATTTCTACCTATGAGCAAAATATGAACTTCAATAGATATTATCAGTCGAATGAGTTTTCTCGTTAGTTTCAATCAAGAAAAACAACAATATTTGAAACTAACTTGATACGTTTATATATATTCCACAATAATAGAGGATTAAAAGATGCGTGATCTGTTAGATATTTTTCTTATTTTGATGATGACACAAACTAAGTAAATAATAAGTGTCTCACTAATGCCATCAAGTGAACAAAATCTCAAGAGACATTCTCGTGTTTTTTCATATATATATAGGTCAATTAACAACTATGCCCTTCAGTCAATTGGAATTGAAAAATATATTTTGTACTGAATAACTTTTCAAGAAAAATCGTTATATTAAACAATTTATCCAATGAATACCTAACATCTTTTCCTATTAAAATTAATCAATGAACGTTTTTTTCAAAATGTCAAAAAATACAGTTACAATTAATTTCTTAGTAGTGGAAATGATCGACTTCCTTAATAGAGAGAAATTTATTTTATTTATTTAATATCTTATTTCGTACAACTTTCCTGGATGAAATAAAAATATTTGGTAATTCTATCTTTAAAAGGCTTTCTCGATAAATATTTACGTTAATGTTTTTTTTTGCTTGTTGAATTTATATTTAATAAACAAATATTCCTTAGACTTCATAATTCTTTTTCTTCCGACACAATGAAAAAATATTGATAAAATTATATATTTATTTCATAAAAAGCCATCTATGTTTATAAAAAATTCTACTTTTTTTGTTTATATCTTACAAACAACAATTGATATGAATCATCTCATCAATGAAACCATTTCAAAGATTCGATATGATATTTACCAAACTAAGCTGCAAATCAATACGATTTCGTGTATTAGTACAACATTATAATACGTGTACTATTATTAAATTTCTAATAATCTATGCGTGTAAGATTATAGCATATAGTTTAAATAAATAATCCCCAAACAATTGATTAAGTACCATCATAATAACGTATAAAACCCAGTTTGAAAAATCATTACCATTGAAGAAAATGTTTGTATACCATCTTATTTGATTATTTAATAAATTTGGTATGGATCAAAAAGCTTTTAAAAAGGAATCAAAATGCACAAAATTTAATATTATATTTTAACTAATAAAGAAAAACTCACTGATTAAAACTTTTTTTTAATCTTTGATGATTGATATAAAAGTAAAACGAAATAATTTATTGCTGATTATTGAGATAACATAAATGATACAATAAAAAATGTAATTAATGAAATAAAAATAATAAAACATATCATTAAAACAGTGTACAATAAACGTTTTCGATATTCACTCATTATTTTACAAGATCAATTCTTAATATAGAAATTTTTTTATGAACAATTCCTTTTTTTCTCTTTTTTTCCGAACAAACTAATTTCATAAAAAATAACAGACGAAGAAGAAGAAAGAATATTGTTTAATAATTATTAAAAATGTATAATATGAAAATATACAATATGTTCACGTAAAATAATGTTAGTTTAAAAATTAATAATATTAATATACGTAGTTCGTCCAATATCTAATGAAGAATAAGCCAAAGAGCATGGATTATACCAATTATGTAAAAACCAAGAATAGTTAAAACTAAATTGATTAGCACTTGCTTATTACAGGCTTTTTGATGTAGATAAACAGCCAGTGGTGGAATGAAAATAGCAATAATAATTAATAGAATGTCAGCCATATATCGTGATGTAGATGGATTAACCTGCACTTAGGTTTATGTGAAAAAAAGAAGAGAAAATACAATGAATGTGTATTATGTTTTTCTTCTCGAATTCTGTTATAATCAGTGCTAAAGAAAAAAAGAGAGCAAGAGAAAGAAAAACGACAATTCTTTTTAACGGGAGGAAGAGACGTAAAATAATTCTGTGTGCAATCATATTACCTTCCAATTCAGTTAACCGATGAAGTAATAAAACTAATAAAGACATGCGTATATTTAACGAAAGAAATACGAAATACATGAGCAAATAACAGCAAATGGCAACAAAGAAAATGATTGATTGTTTCATATTTCCTATATTTGATTATGAAATCAACAGAGTCACGTTTCACAAACTCTATTTTAAATCAAGGTTTCGTTTATGCATTCTTGTCAAATCAAATAAATAGAAGATTTAGCTGATTTACAATGAGAAAAATCAATACATATAATAATTTAATAACGTATTCTTTTGCATTTGGACAAGAATAGCAAGACTTTTTTTTTTATTAAGATTATTTAAAAAAAGATTAGATCAACTTATTCGAAATCAAAAATATTCTCTCAATACAATAATTCAATTCATCATACTATTTCAATAAATATAAAGATATTGATGATAGAAAGTATCATGCAAAAATAATCTAACTGTTCATATAATACAGAATTTCCTATGTCAATAATCGAGAAGCCAGTAAGTACAAGAATTAGATCTAGTATTTACAAAACCTATATAAACAATGTCAAGGAAATATTTTCATATCAATAAAATCGTTTACGCTTTGTCGGCTTCAACTTACATAACATTTAATCAGACAAAATAAACATTATTGATTATTTTTCAATTATTAAAATTCTGTTTAATAATAATCTCTATTTTTTAATCAGTATAAAACTATTAATTAGATAACATCAAAGTTGGCATTCGATCATTTCTTGCTTTTATTTTCTCGATACATTTTAATAAATAATTATCTCAAAAATATAATATTCTATTTCTATTTGCTTGAAATATATCTGATGAATATCAATTGTAAAAAACAAAATACACAGCTTGATTGTTTACTTGTGGTAAGGAATATTATAACAAAAGAAAATAAATTTTCCTAAATAATCGAAACAAAAAAATCCAACATCAACAACACACATCATGGTTATCGACTATAAAAAAAAACAAGTTGGTTATTGAAATGCTTCAACCATATGTTCAATTTCTTTTGAAATATACCCAAAGAACACTAATATTTTCAAGAATCTATATTTAAACCATCGTTCTGTTCGATCTTTGCTAAAAACAAAATATAAAATAATGAAATAATGTTTTTCAAAATAGAAATATTAACTTACAAAAGTATCAGATCAAAAATAAATAATTCTAATCGTGCATAAAAACGATCTTTGAAAAATCTTTGTGGTTTTTCATATTTTCGAGCACCCAAAATAGCACTACAATAAAAGAAAAAAAAAGGTAAACATTTATTATCAATCAAATTCATATATTTCGATTCAAGGAAAATAAATTTAATATTTGTATTCTAAAATAAATTAAGATCACAATAAATATCGATTTCTTTAGTGAATTTCTGTAAAAAAAAAACGTCAAACTCTATCATTTACAATATATCATCATAAGTTGAAATTTCAAATTCGAAAACATCTTGCATTGATATTTTCATAAAAAAAACCATTAGCTATTCCGTTAGATGATTTAAAAATTGAGTCATTTTCATACTGAACATTTCTTCATTTGCTATTTTATTTTTATAATAAAACATAAAACTACGATCTTAGTTTAGTATTATCATTACGGAACAATTATTCATAGAAAATCGAAAGAAAAAAACATGAAGTCAATCAGAAATGAAAACGCATAATAACCAACCTTCGAGCCATAATAGTATGTCGATCAATTAGATTTCCATGATCCCGAATTGTTGATCGTATTTGATTTAAATTCCTAGAAAAAAACAAAATACTTTATCAAATATTCATATTTCACTTCTTTTTTTATGGAATCTAATAGTTCGCAAGCAGATGAAATATTACATTTTGACTATAGAAAACTACCTGAGAACAAGAATAAGCTTGTCCGGTAATTGCTTGAATACATAAATAACTTCATCCATTGTTTCTCGAGCTTTTAATCGTATTCGATCCATTTCCTCTTTAGTTATTTTCTGTCGGAATGATACACTACCATGTCGAGAACGTAATGATTGCATAATAAGTATTTCCGCAAATAAACGATGATACTTTTCTACATATATACATATATATATATATGATTTCAAAACAATAGAATAATCCAAATTCTTTTAATCTCACATATACATAAAGACAATTATATCAAAGAAAATGACGATGATAACTAACCTTAATATCATTAATAATGGTCGAGGCATATCATGAAGAGTTCGTAAGACACTATCTTGAATATCATTGAAAATAAATGTAAAATCTTTACGTATCGCCAATTTTTTTTGTGGACTCATATTTAAAAATTCTTTTTCAGTCTAATAGGGTAAAATAAATAAGATAAACAAAACTTTTAGTGAAGAAAAAAAACCGAAGTTTCTTACAGGAAGACGAATTTTTCCTTGTGCATGTGCTGCTTTTTGTTCATCAGATGACATTCGATCCCATACTTCAGGTAATATTGCCAATTCATGTATAGGTCGATGAATTGGATGCATAGTTAGAACAGTAGCAAATGTTAAATAATCTTTCTCTACATCGGGAAAAAAGAAATACGGTTAGGTTTTCAATCGTCATCATTTTCTTCTAATTGAGTTTTGTATATGCGTGAAAACATAATAGACTTACCTTGTACACCAAGTGCTAGTGAATAGTGTTTCATTTTATCTTCATCCTTCAATATAATTGATTTCCATAATTGACATAAAGCTTCTCGGTCTTTTGGATTAATTGTTACATATAAACCATGATCAAGTAAAACAATTTGAACGTTTGATTTCGTTGGTGTTTTTGGATCTTTTCTGACATAAACATTCCCTGGCTAAATGCATACAATGAGAACCAAAATTATTCGATAAGGATTATTTTCGATTTTTTTCCTTGTCGTAAACGTTAGAAAGAAATCAAATTGTGATTCGGATAGAGAAAATGATTTCTAACAAGAATATAAGGAAATATAAATCATTTTCAGATTCATTAAGATAGGGACTCCAAAAAACCGAAACACTAGTGTTAAAAAACGTAGAGCACGTAAATATATTCTTGTTTAGATTACATAGAACGATAGAGTAAACCATCCTCTAGAAAATGAGATATCGCCAAGTTCTCTACGAGTTTTTTTTGTCTGAGGCACAGCAATTTGATTGAAGGTCAAAAAATCGTTTTTCTATACGAAATTGAAAATAATGGACTTAAAGTCTTCCATAAAATTGCTGTACCTCAGCTAAAAAACATCGCAGAGAACTTGGAGACATCTCATTTTCTAAAGAACTGTTTGCTCTATCGCTTTGTGTAGTCTAAACAAAATTATATTTATTCGTCCTAGGTACTGAAAAACTAGCCTTTTGATTTTCTAGAGTCTCTATCTTTGGCAACTTGATAATAATTTTTATTTCCTTATATTCTTTTCGAGAACAATTTTCTCTATTCGAGTCACTATTTGAATTCTTTCTAGCGCTTACGGCAGCGAAGAAAAAATTGAAAAGAACCTTGTTGAATAACTTTGAGAATCACTGTAAAAATATACATACACAGTCGCTCCAAAAGTTGACCATACAGCTTTAATTTTGTAATACTAACTCGCATAGAGAATTCAAATAGTAGATTGAATAGAGAAACTTGTTTTTAACAAGGATTTGAAGAAAATAAAGTCTTCAAAATATTCTCAAAACTCAGAATCTATACAAAACCTAGTTTTTCAGCGTCAAGAACCCAAAAATAAGAGTTTCTTTTGATTACAGGAAGCAAAAGAGTAAAATGAGACATCTCTAAATTCTCCATGACATCTTTTGACTTAATCACATGAAATTTTAGAGAACCTCAAACGTTCTTATTGTTCAGTTTTTCCTTCGGAAATGGCGAAAAAAATCATTCTCGGGCATTTTTTAGAGTCGATATAGCTTTGTCAAAAAATGCCATACAGACCTTGGAGATATCTCATTTTACTTTGTTAAATTCTTGTTGGAAACAATTTTCTCTACTCATATCACTATTTGAATTCTTTATGCAAGTTACTATTATAGAATAAAATCTGTACGATCAATTTTTGAAGTCCTTTTATATCTATCGATTTATCTTATTGATCAAATAAAAGAATTGAAACATACATGAGGATCAGCATGTACAAAACCGGAATGAAATATTTGAAAAGCCATAGCTTGAACAAGTTTCGTATCAATTTCTTTTAATGATAAATTTGTTTGTCGAAGTTTTTCTGTATCTGAAACTTTAATACCATCAATATATTCCATAACAAGTACTCGTTTTGTCGTATATTCCCAAAAAACTTTTGGAACATAAATATATTTTAAATATGGTGATAATTGAGCATAACATTGATCAGCATTTTCACCTTCTAATTTAAAATCAAGTTCACGTTCTAAATTACTTTTTACTGAATCAATTATCCAACCAAATTCAAATTTAGGAAAGATTTTACCAATTGCATATAATATCATACGAATAGTTAATATATCACCGGCAAAACGATCTTGTAAATCAATATATTGTAATTTAACAGCAACACGTTCATTAGTTGATTTAAGATGACCTTCATAAACCTCAGCAAGAGAAGCTGCAGCAATAGGTTCAGGAGAAAGATAAGAAAATAAATCAGATACTTGACAGCCAAATTCTTCATCGATTAACTGACTAACCTAAAAATAAATTGTGATATTTAATATTTATCTATAGCTTTACTCTTCGAAATAAGAAACACAACAAATCGACTTTGATTTTATCGATCAATATCGAAAGATTTCAAGATAGGATTTACTAGAAGTTTTTAGAGACTTCAGAAAATCTCGCATTCTGCTCATGTCTAATTAAATTCTCTCAAAAAAAGACTATATAGACGATAGCATATAGTGAAGAAAAATTGAAAGGATTTCGTGTGTATTACGAAACCTAAAAAAAAACCGTTTTGTACATAGGTATAAAACTCTTAAAACGTTTCCTAGATTCATAATAAGTCTTTCCAAGGATTGTGTACTAATGCAAGAAATCTAACAAAGAATTTCGAATTAACTTTAATTCTCAAAACCTTTTCTTTTAGTGTAGATCTACGACATCTTCAATTAATCATCATTGATAGAGAATTCTATTGAGTTTTCTATTCTTACAAAACTCTGAATTAGAGTCATGAAAAGTTGATCTCGTTAATTTCTGGTCGTCTGTGATATTCTTTGTTGATTTTTAACTACCATCAAAATAGTAGAACTTAATTCTACAATTAATAAATAGATGTCATAGAAATCTTACCTCATTTCGTTGTCTTCGTAAAGCTCTATCTTGTAATAGTCGAAGTCCATCAGTATATTCTTTTGGAAAAATATGATCAGCACTAACCATTCCTTGACCCATTTTAACATATAAACCACCATTTTCAATACATCCTTGAGCTATTCTAGCTGCTGCTCGTTTATGACATTCTTTAAGTTTGATTTCATATTCTGGTGATGTTTCAGGTATTGTCCAAAAATGATATTTATAATCAACTGTAATAAGAAAACCGATTTGAAATGATCTGCATAAACAAAAATTAAATTTAACAAATATTTATTAAATATACAATTCAACTAATTACTAACCGAAATCCACGTTGTAAACCTTCAAATACAACTCTTATTTGACGTCTTTCTTTTGGTGTAAGATAATAAAAATAATAAAGACTACCACCACCAAATAACAATCCATTCGCTATAATATAATTTCTCAAAAAACGTCGACTACGATGTTTAACACCGAAACGATCTGCTATGGATCGAAGAGTACTTGTGTTACTATTTGATACTAAATTTTTTCTCACCAAACGAAATGTACTTGATGGTAACAACAATGAACAAGCTCGAAAAGCATTCATATATATAAATCTAAAACATTAGTGAAATACTTTCCAGATTTCGTCACAGATATTCAAAATCACAATACTATAGAACTATACAAGAATATAAATCCATTCAATGAGACATAAAAAAAAAATCTTTTAAAAAGTAATATCACGTACAAAAAAAAAAGAAAATACCGGATGAGTCAGTCGGACATATCAATTAATATTTAACTCGTTTTACTCGTCCATTAGAATTACTTTCAGTTGATGGTGTTGTACCATCTGCATCCATCGCAGTATCTTCATCACATGCAGGACGTTTCATACTTTTCATAGTTGGAGATGATGAAAACATAATTTTCTCAATTCGAGCAGTATTGCCATGATCATCTGCTAACCATGGATGTTCAAGTACACCAGCTATTGTTAATCGTTTATTCGGATCAACACACATCATTTGACGTATAAGATCTTTAGCTGTTGCAGAAACTTCAGACCAAAATTCATCGGGAAATGTATAAAGGCCTCTAAGAATTTGTTCATTTAATGGAGGAGAATCAGGTGATTCACTAAATGGTGGATAACCAACTAAAACAATAAACGAGTATGAATTTTAACACAAAAAAATAAATAAATAAATAAATAAAATTTCTTTTTTTTTTCTTTCTTACCTAAACAAATATATAAAATAACACCTAAACTCCATACATCAACTTTATTTGTATAACTACCTTCACCACGAGTTGCTAAAATTTCCGGAGCTGAAAGACAAAAAAAAAGAAAAAGAAAAGTAATATAAAAGAAAAAAAAAAATTCTTTTTTGATTTCTTTCTTACCAAGATAATTTGGTGTACCACAAAATGTTTTCATTAAACTTGTTTCATTAATAAGTCTTGATAAACCAAAATCAGTTATTTTAATTAATGTTTCATTTGTCTCTGGTGATGTTAAAAGAATATTTTCTGGTTTTAAATCACGATGTGTTATTGAATGATCATGTAAATATTTAACACCAATACACATTTGTCGAAAAAGAAATTTACTTGTTGTTTCATCAAATTGTCCATTTGCAACTATGCGATCAAATAATTCTCCACCATCAACAAATTCAAGAATAATATAAAGTGCATCAGGTGTATCATGAACATCATATATACGAATTATACATGGATGATTTAATCCTTGTAAAATTGAACATTCATTTTTTATATTTTGATTGAATATATGAGCTTGTGGACCAAAATGTGTAAAATGTTTTTTTCTAATAATTTTCATTGCAAAACGATCACATGTACCTAAGAAAAAAACCAAATATATTTGACATTTCATATATGAATGGTTTATTTTATTGTTATATGACATTAAATTAAATTTACTAAAGATGAATAACTTTCTTAATAGACGAATTCTGTAATTTTATAAAAATGCTCTAGAATGATTTGACTTTTTCAGATCTTTTGATCTGAGATATAGTTTTACTAGTATCTTCAATATCTTAGATAAATATGATTCATTCAGGTTTACATTTATATCGTTAGTAACCTATGTCACACGTTTGTTCGCACTGCCGTCGATATACCGCGGTTTCGCTTACGACAACTTTCGCTTTCAGCTATAAACGATTACGGAGAGTGTTTTCTACCCAAACTCATAAAAATTCAAATTAACCGACTCTGAAATCTTACATCAATTCTTATTGTAAGATTCTTGACAGATCTTGTTGTCTTGCCAAGTCTTACTGAAAGATTATAGAAAATCTTATGCGACGGTAGTATCTGACAGGAATCTTACAGTAAGAATTGATGTAAGATTTCAGAGACTACGATTTTTTGTACGATTTCATATGATCGTACAAGACTTACTGTCAGATTTTTTGATCTGGGAAGTTTTAGAATTTATTAATTATATCGTCATTGACTATGATAGTTTAATTTTAGTTTCTTAACAATTCATTAAAGATTTATTTTTTTTTTGTGTTCTTCTGGGTGATCGAAAGCAATATGTGCTGAGATTTTGCACAATCATAATAAATAATAAGATATAAATATGGCTTTAATTATTAGTTAATATGTGAAACAGATGACATTTCAAAAAGAGCATATGTTCTTGTCTTAAAAATTCTCAATTAATGAACAGCGTTATAATTGTAAACTGGACCAAAACTTGTTTAGTCTCAATAGTGAACATAATGTAAAACTCGAACACTGTCGATAGTGATAGACGTATATCTTAATTTAGAAAATTCGAAATACTAAAACATTCTAAGATATTTAACGTATTACTGAGGATCTATGCAGTGAATAAATACTTGATTTAAAAGCGATTCGACAGTGTATAAAGTGTCTCCATGAGAAGCTTAAAGTACTGAATGGTACTCTTCCCTCGGTTTTGAACATTTCTGATTGTCGAAGAGGGCACAACTGATCCGCATGAAATTTTTACTATAGATCGAGCACCTAAAACTAAGGAAATATATGTTCAAGGATAAAAAATTTTAAACAACGTTTTCTAGAAAACTCTGATTTTCCATAAGACCGCATCGGACCCACTTACGAATCCCATCTAACTTTGTCCGATCAGACTAAATATTTTATTGAAGGTACCTTATACTATATCTCAGAGGTGATTTTAAACTTTTTCAAAAAGTTAACTCTCTTTTTTTCTAGAAATCTGGATAGGAAGCTCAAAAACGAAAACGATCAATTTCACCTCTGAAGAGTACTTCCAAGTATCTGTGATCAAAACTTCAGCTCAATTGAACAAAGTTAGACAGGGGTCGTAGTGGATTCGATGTAGTCCTATAAAAAAACCAAAATTTTCCCGAAAACCTTATTTAAAACTTTTTTTTCTGGAACATGTATCTCCTTATTTTAGGTGCTCTATCTACAATAAAACTTTCCTTAAATTCATCCAGATATCAACAAGATTGACAAAATCCTTATATTTCTAGTGAATAGTGATCGAGCATACTGATGAATGAAACCAATCGTCTTTGAATAGGTTACTCTTTTTTTTTCTTTACCTCGAGTGAAGCATAATTTGACTTCACCATAAGCTCCACGTCCAATTTCTCTAGAAACAATATATTTATTTCTAACAGTTGCTGGAATTGATAAATCTTCATGAGTATTTGAATCAATATAAACATAGGCTCGATGTGTTTTTGATGCTAATGCAATTTCTGTATTATTTTCTAAAATATGTTGATTATTTTTACCAATTTTTTCTCCATTTATATATGTTCCATTGGATGATAAATCAATAATATAAACATATTTTTTTGTTTCATCACGAATAATTTGAAAATGTTTTGATGAATAAGCAAGAAAATATTTTGATGTTTGAAGTTCATTTGAATTTAATATTATTGTACATGTTTTACCACGACCTACTGTATATTCATTATCTATTAAATCAATTGATGGAAAAAGGTTATTTATTGATAATAATCGACCCCATACATTCAATCGACGATTAGAATCATCATCATCTGCTGAACTATATTCGATACCATCACATTCTTGGGTTCCTTGTGTTGGTACACTTAAACTCTGAATAAAATAATAATTAAGAAAAAAAGAAGATCTTGCTTTATCATCTAACCATTGGTATTGGTTCACTCATGATAACAATAATGATGTTTATGTACCAAACAATTATTCTCTTTTATTCTTTGAAAAAGAGTGCAACACTTCAGTATGAGTCAAGGTTACACCATACCGTATTTTTGAGTAAACGACGGGTGCAAAAAAATACCAATGAAACAACATCAATGAAACTATGAGTGACATCTAGTTTTCATGTTTAAAATGTTAAAGACAGCCAACTAAATGTAAATCTGGAGATTTTCGATATTTAAAGATAAAGATCTAAAATGATATCTATTAAATAAAAAGTATTTCATAACTTTTCGTTGAAATAACTGAGTTTTTTTTTCTATAAATCTGTTATATTTTTTAACAAAAGCAATAAATTATTAAATAGTATTGTCACTTGTTAAATAATCATATCATATCATATTGTAGTTTATTTTTACATATTTGTACTTGATTGATCTGGAATAATTTTCGCGTCATATTCAGCTTTGAATCAAACTGATTAATTGATTTCTTTTGTTATGTGTTCATTTAGTAGTCATCGATCAATATCGTATTTCTTATCAAAACGCGAAATATTACACAGAACAGACTTGAGTAAGTACGACTGCGTAATCGTACGTGTTTAGCTCTGCAAATAAAGTCCACTTGCAACTGTTATATAGACATTGACGATTTGTTTCATTGTTTGAACAAATCATATGATTCCATATTTCGTATATTCTGATTTAATACCATCGATTTCATCTCATTCAATATTCTATTCTTACCAGAATGACTAAAGACACCATCACCAAATATATTAAAACAATCACTATAAATTTGAAATCTACCCTTTCCAAAATTTGTTGACATATTATACCAATTTCGATCAGGTTCGTCTGTCGGAGTTACATTTTTAGTAGCTTCTATCAGAGTTTGTTCACTTAAAAGACGCTTCTGTTTCTTCCCATATTCATTGATATCACCAATCAGTAAATAATAGATACGAGCTAAAGATCGAGCATTTGTAATTTCATTCACAGAAGGTATTGCTACACAATGAAGTCGAGTCCCGTTAAATATCATCAATGAGCTTTCCAAGGGAGAAGCAGCACTACATGATAATGATTTTTTTTGAGTTTGTGAATCCATTGAAAATACGTTACTTGTATCAACCTTGAATACAGAAAAAAAAAGAATCTTGTCTATTTGATGTATTAATCAATTTATTTCTTTACGAGTGACAGGAGAAACACGTGCTTCAACTTCATCATTAAGTATAACCACATAAAATTCCCTATCTAATTTATCACGAACAAATTGATTGTATGTACGATGATGAAGATCAACACGACGAATTAATTCGCCAGCAGCATATCCTATTATATGACCATGATATTCATGAACTGTTCTAGGTTGGCAATGAGGTTTTTGTGCATCCATTAATGAAGCCAT